TTTGAAGAAGGGAACAAAACCTAATTTTTATTCTGCTTGCATCTGAGTTCTCATCAAAATTCAACTGTGAATAGGATAAAAAAAGCATCATGATATTTGTTGTTTGGTTGGGGTTTTTTTGCTTGCCCAGTCTTGCTTGTCTTTTGTTTGGAGGGGCTTCAGGGGTGGATTGATATAGTTCCCTGTAGATGGACATTCTTTGGTATTATAAAAATATCCCCTTTGGTTACATAGCTATAACAAATAAAACATCAACCTGGGACAGAAGACTTCAGAATTCTTGAAAACTCCAAAACTCAAGTCTGGAAAGCCTCTGTTCTTCAAGGTTCCTTGGGTGAATTTGATATCTTTTATTAGACCAACCCAAATGGTTGGAGAATAGTTATTAAGCAAGCTTTCGGGTTCAAAAACCCTTCGTCAGGCTAAGGAAGCTGCAGCAGTTGGCGTGTGCTCTTCCTGGATGGAATGAAAAGTAAAGAAGCCAGGGGCTGGGCTGGGCTGGGGAGTCAGTTGCCAGGCAGATTATAATGTATCAAAAATCCAATGTCTATGTTTAGTCCCTGATCTCTAGTATCCAGCAGGTTGATGAAATGGAGCTCATAGGCTCGTCTCTGGGATGTGTTGTGTAAGTTTCCCTTGAGGATCAGGACTGAGAGATTGGAGAGAGAGTGGCCCTCCTGTGAGAAATGTGCCCCCACCGGTAATTGGGTGTTTCTGTCTTTGATGGATTTCCGGTCTGCATTCATTCTGGTGCGCAGTTGTTGTCTGGTCTCTCCTACATATCTTCCATCAGGGCATCTGTTCTTCAAGGCCTTTTAGTTCAGTCAGGGTTTTTTATTATTATTTAAATGCTTTTGATTGATTGAAAAAGTCTGCCACTTACAAGTCAAAGTGAATTTTGTCATTGGCTTCTATAGAACTAAGCTTTCACTCTTTCATATAGTAGGGTCAGAATGTTGTAAAAAGGATGGTGTAGGAAATGTGAGGTGCAAAGGTCCTCATGTTGAGGACGGGCACTTTGTGCCAGAAAGCTTGCCTAACATGTCTCCGAGCTATACAGTTGGTCCACTAAAATATATCAGCAAAAAACAAAACCTCGACTCACCCATCCTTTTGGGTAGAGGTGAGAAGTTGTATTCTCCTGTTTTTTAAAACTTGGGTGTCTTAGACCAGTGGGGGCCACCTTTTTGGCAGGCATGCTACACATTGTCTCCACACCCTCCACATGCCACACCAATCCCCCTCCCCTGCCCCATCTTCCATTCTAATCTCTACTCCCTACTCTGTGCCTCTGGCCTGATCTGCTCTGCTCCGTGTCTTATCAGCCACTGTGCTGCCTATTCCCTGCCCAGTCTGCTACATGCCACACATGTAGGCTGCCTGAGCCACTGTAGCATGTATGCTGCAGGTTGGTCACCCCTGCCCTAAAACACAGGCATGCCAACAGGTTACCTAGGAGGTAACCAGGGTTGAGAAATATTAATGAAATGAAGGTAAGCTACATAGGTTAATTTTCATTACTGCAGGGTAAGAGCATATACACAGACAGTCACCACTGATCATCACCTTGGTAATTTGTCTATGTGCCTGTTTTCTTAAACTATGTGGTTTTTATTTTTCAATTTTTAATAGAAAATAGAAATACAGTCTGTGTGTGTGGTGTATTTATTTATTTATTTATTTAATGATGATTGTACATGGCCCAGGAACTATGATAAATAAGCATTGTGTTATTGGATGCAGTCAGGGCAACTGAGGTAGTTTTAGTACACACATTGGCTGCATACAGATGTTAAAAACAAAAACCCATGCATCTGTATAGTTTGGGAGTTTCAGCAGGGTTTTTTGGCGCTTTTATTTAATAGCTGATTGAATCACCTAAAAGTGCCAAAAAAGCCCCACTACAATTCCCAATCTATACAGATGTTGGATGAGCTGAGTCCAACTAATGCAACGCCTCTTCTGGGCATGTGCTTGAGTACACTAAGTTTAAAGTAAAGCACCATTTTTGTTTTTGTTTTTATTGGCTCCCTTTGATCTTTGAAAGGTTTTACCAGTATTTGTCTTTTATCACACCAATCTCCATCTGTGCAAATTTTTATAATCCATGGAGGTTCTAAAATGTTACTCTTATACTTCAGGGTATAAACCAATCCTGCATTTTCTAGTATTATGAAAAGATTCTTTAAGATCAGATTATTCCATAGCTGCCTATTAAGGGAATTTTGCACCTTCCTTTTTAAGAATCTGGTATTGGCTACTACTGGAGGTACAGTACCAGGCTAGAGGGACCAGTGATTTAGGTCCTATGCAGCGGTGCACCTCTGCATTAGCTGCCTATCAGATTGACACCAATAAAAGGGGAAATGACATTTTGGCTGTTATAGCCGATAATGTTTCCCATGAATTATGCCTTCTACCCAGGGCCCTGGTCACCTGGGTTCCCTCTCCCCCATGGGGCTGGGGCCCCGGATGCCTGGGTTCCCTCGGGGAAATGGTGGGTTTCCCCTTGCAGGTAGGCAGCATTCTAGCTTGGGGTCCTGCTTGGGGCTGCCAGGAGCGAGGCACAGGAGGTACTGTGTGCATGTATGTGGCCGCATGCATGCATGTGGCCAGGAATGTGGCCGGGCAGCAGGGAGTTAAGTCTGTGGAGGGGAAGGGGCACGAGGGGGGCATACTGAGGCCCCCACGGTGAGAGGGAGTGGGGTAGGGGCTAGGGGTGCTGCCCAGCCACGGCAGTGCATGGGACCTGGGATTAGGGCAAGGAGCAGGATGGAGTCATGGGCAGCTTGTCCAGAGGGTGTTGGGGAGGGGGAAGGGTGTGCAGCTTCAGGCCACTGTGCCTGGTGGAGGCATGGGTTGGCATGCGTCTCCAAGATTTGTGCACGGGGCAGATGCGGACTGCTTGCTGTGGGCTCAGAGCTCTCAACTCTGCTGCCTTTCCCTCAGGAACCCCGCTCCAGCTGCACACCCCCTGCTCGCCCAGCAGCAAGGGGGGTGGCAAGCTGTGCCCCCAGCTGCTGGGTGGGCGGGGGCACATGGGCCAGCACAGGGCTCCTGAGTCAAAGGCAGCAGTGGAAGGCCCCAGGCCCACAGTGGGCAGCCCGCATCCGGCCTCACCCCGCTTGGTTTTGCTCTGCTAAATAGCATCCCCGCACTTTAAAATGGTGGTGGCGGTGCTTGAACTAAAGCTCATTTGATGAGCTTTAAGTTCAAGAGCCCCTGCTGCTATTTTTAAGCACTGGGATGCTGATCTCCTGGATGAGCTGCCCGTGGCTCCATCCCGCTCCCTGCTCCAGCCCTGGGGTCCCATTCACAGACCTGCCCCAGCCCGCCCAAGAAAATCTTTATCGGTGCATTCCTCGTCCTATGTTCTTAAGTCAGGGGTTGTCAACCAGGGATATGTGTACCCCCAGGGGTACTTGGAAAGGGGCTAAGGAGTATGCGCGGGTGGATGGGTGGGCATAGAGCACTGCCACCTCCCAGGAGCAGGGCCGGGCCAGGCGAGGCGAGGGCAGCAGCTCCCATCTGCGGGCTGCACAGGTGCTGCCCAGCCAGCGGGCTGCTCGGGGTGGGGGGGAGCCCCCCCCTCCCCGAGCTCTGCCAGAAGTGTACCCAGAGGGGTACACTCCTTAAAAAAGATTGAAAATCCCTGTCTTAAGTGATTTGCTTTGCCCAAAGATACTCTGTAGTCTGATTCAACAGATTCACAAAACTCCTAGTCCTGTGCTTGTGTCTCTGTCATGCTGTCTCTAATGTCTTTCTGCCTTTGGCAGTGGGATTTCTGAACTGCTGACTTAGTGATTACTGTCCTCAAATAGATATTACGTGACAAGAACAGAGAACCCTGTTGTAGTATGAGAATCAGTCAAATTATTCATATGACATTCATAGCATCGCTCTGTATGGAACATTCTCTTTGCATTCATGTGACCTGGCTGTCTCTGAACCTTCACTGATGTTATTTTCCTGTGGTTTCAAGTAATTCTTTCCCTGCATAGTACTGCTTTCATGGTATTGCTTTGACAGTTTGATGTGTCACGCCACCTGACAAATCTTTCAGAATTTACCTTACATTAATTTCCACCTGTGCAAAGAGTTGTAAAAGTTTAATTAGGTTGTCTCTGAAATCTATCCAAACTAAACTCCTGTAAGCAGATGTAAGTTAAAGAACAGGCTGTCACCTGATTGGGATATTCAGAAATACTCCCACAACAGGTATTTTCAGCATATACCTGTGAAGAATGCACTGTAGTCCCAACTACAAATTCTTATGCAGATTCCTATTTTCACTAGCTTTTCCAGTGTAAACCAATAGTATCTTAATAGATCATTTTGATTCACTGTGAGATGCCAGTAAATTACAAACCATTTTTTCCTAAAACATTCTCTTGATTTTGTTCTTGCATTGTTTTTATTCTAAGATTAATAACCATAGCCCATCCACTGCACTGACACTTTTGTAAAGCTTTTCTTTTTTAATGAACTTCTTTCCCTTCAAATACTTAACACTAAATATGTGCATTTGCATATTAGCAAAACCTTTCAATTTCATATTTAAAATAATGCGTTACACCTGTTGCAGTTATTGGATAGTGCTCCATACTGAAATTACTTAAAATAAGTTCACTAGTATAAAATAGAAAAGCCATAGTAAGTTTAGATGACTCTTAACAGAGCCATTTTAGTTAAATGTTCAGTTTATACTTTTTAGCAACTCTGTGAAAAGGATGGTATTTGTAACTGAATCAAATGCAAAAGTATTTATTGTATCCGGTATAGTGAACTGCATGTTCCCATTAAAATAAGTTTTCATTTTGTAAGTTAATAATTTAAGAAACGTGTGTATGTGTGTGTACTGTTATATAATGAATTAAAACAAAATCAGGTTTTGTAGCTCTTAAGCCTTTTATATAATAAATGTTGACCTGACTTAGAAAAGTAGAACTTCCCACTTCAGAATATGCTTTTAAGGTCATGAAGATAAACTCTTGACTTACCTATGTCAACAGTCTCTTTCTTTATGTGTGTGGCTTCCAGATCTTCTTGGGTGGAATTGATGAAGTCATCTTCATCTTCAGAGATTTCTAGAAATCCATAGAATTGTCATTTAACATAAAAACGTACTGTTTTCAGCTGTCCTAAGCACAACTACTCACATGTTCATATTGCTAGTATTTATGATTTTCATCCTTAATCCCCTGGGGCTTTTACCTCTCTTGGCCTGTTAACTCAAAAATATATGAACATCTGAAAATACATTCTCAGAATAATAAATATATACAGTACATTTAGGAAATTTGCTATATAAAAATACCTGTCAAAATAAATGTGATATCTTATTGATCAGTTAATGGATTTAATTCCCAAATTTTATCAAGTACTTAAATTATTGGTTCTGAACAAAGGTCTGTGGACCACTGTGGTCTGTGAAATCAGGGTAGGTGGCCCACAGTTGGTTTATGGATTGTTGTCCCCCCTGTGCCCTGACCTTTTAGTTAAAGTTTGATAAGAATGTGTGATCTACTGATAGTGTTGAGGGTTAATGGCAGGTCTGACCCCAACACTTTGGGAGCCATTGATTTTTAGGATATGGACAGAAGTATACCTCAAGTGGCTTCAAAAGGGGAGCAGGAGCTGCTGTTCCAGAGCCAGTGGGGTAAATTTCCCCAATTTTGCTCAATGAAGCAGTTAAAGCTGGAGCTGTTTTGCTACGCTTCTGTCACTATAGGCTTGTTCACAGGTAATGGCTGCTGAGAGCTTGCAAGCAGCAACTTCGCTTCTCCTTTTGAAGCTGCTAGGAGTGTATGTTTGTCCGTAACCTTTGACTCAGTGGGACAGGGAGTTATCTTACCACTTCTGTTGTACAGAGCATGGAATGTCTGAACCTGATCTTAGTTGAGGCCTTTACATGCTACAATAATACAAATAAATGATAAAGAACTGGGGATTGTGAATGCAGCAGAATGTGGGTGCTTTTATGAAGTAACAAAACAATGCTCAGAAAGGTTCTGATTCAGTGCCCACTGAAATCAGTGGAACAACTCCCAAATAACTTCAATGGGCCTTGAATTGGACCCCAAAAGAAGGTATAATTTGCTGTCTCATAGGTGGTATATGGTGATGCCCTGTTCATAGTTCTGCTAAGGGGGGACAATAAGCACTTTTCTCTCTTGCCAATCAAACTCCCAGTCTTCAAAGAAGAAACATTCCAAAAATTTCCCTTTTATTTACCTGGTGCTGCCACATGCCTGTTTCTCAACTGGCTAATGCTGACATTGCTATGCTTTCTCTTTGGAATGGGGAGGGTTGTCTACTTCCTAGTTAATTGGTCCCCAATCATTTGACAGAGCCCATCTTGTGACAAAGAGATGACGCACATATTTTTGTATCTTTACTTTGCAGCTGATGTACAACGGATGAATGCCAGGGACATGGAGTGGCTCAGTGGCAGCAGTTCCTGGCTTCTGGCTCTGCCCTCTATCCATTAGAGAGCCATTGAGCAACAGAATGTAATCAGTCTTCTTAACAGATTTTTTGCTTAAAAATTAGCAAAGAAAATCAATGTTGACTTATTTGAATTGTCAGCTCATCTGCTGACACACATCTTGTTGCTTTGCTGAGAATTAAGTCTTCCCTAATTTTCAGTCTCCTGTGTTTTTTTTTCTGTAGCACAAATGAGCTCCCTAAAAAGTGGGAGAAGTCAAAACTAGACAAGATGACTGTAGTCTGTGGCCCAAAAGAACATTTAACCACCTAGGTTACCCAGATGGTAATGCCTTGCTGCTTTATTTTCACTGCAGATGCCATGCAAACCTGTAACAGTAGATGCAAAAATCCCAGAGGCTCAGAGTTGTGACTCTGTGGATGCTGGTACTGAAGCCAGCCATCTAGGAACCTTTCCAGGCCCACTTTAGTAGAAAATGGCTGGGGTTCAAGATTTTTAAAACTAGGGAATTTAAAATCAGATTCCTTGGTCTACATCTTCAAAATCTCAAAGCATCCAATAGCAACCTTTTAAGGGGAGGTTTTGTATTTAGGTACTTGAATAGGTACACATGTCTATTACCCTGTGATTTTTAAATACCCATACATTGAAAATCCTGGCCTAGATATTTATTTCAGATGTCATGCAACTATACTGGAACATACCTTGTATCAAAATTAAGAGGGAAGCTAAACATTTTAGAAAAGAATGATGAAAAAAGATCTCCCATTACTGTTATAATTGCTCAGAATTGCATTTTATTATTTCTTTTGCATCGGTCTATTTTGACCATGTGTTTGGAAGACTTTTTTGGAAACTTGCTTTGTTGTTCCATTGATCTTTCATGTAACGGAAGATGAATAGAAATTTAACCAAGTACTCAATTTTACATTATGTTTGTCTGTTGACATGATTTTTATAGGTCTATGTAGTAAGTGTGTGTTGGAGGGTCAGGGTGGAATACACAGACCCTAGATTAGAATTGACTGGTTTTCCTTGTTTGTGCTTTCTACCTGCTCCATAAGTAGAAAGAATCAGCTCCTTGGGTACATTTCTAGAATGAATTGGGCCTAGAAGTTGTTTAATAAAATGAAACCTCACTCATGCTGACTGTGGATTCAAGAAATACAGGACAGATTTCTCAGGAAAAGGAGAGCTGTACAAGGGTTTTAGACTTTCACAGGTCTCTGTTGCTGAAGTTTTAGTGATGCTGTTGTGTCAGATAATGCTGGGGCACCCTCTGCTGGCTAATCTATTTGGAAAGCTCCTTGAATGCATAGGTAGAATGGAGTAAATTATTCTAAAAAAAAGAATCAGTAATGACTGCAGTTTTGGAAGAACTCCAAAGAGAGGACTATATGTTGACTGGTACATCTAAAAGTAGGCATTCAGTATTTAGAGGCTATATTTCTTGAATGTGAATATATTTAAAAGTACAGAGAGTAAACTCAACTAATTAGAAGCTTTTCTGAAACAAATGTCAGTTAGATTAGGGCTGCCCAACTGGTGTTAAATTATGGTCCTTAGGCAGGGCTTGTTGGTGTGGCTGCCAGAGCTGCTGCATTGACGGGGTTCCAGAACCCAGGGACAAAGGGGAGCATGGGAAGCAAGTGGCTTTTACCCTCTGGGTTCCAGAGCTGTGCCACCACAGTGGCAACAGCAGCCATGCTGAGAAATCACTACTCCTCCACCACAGGTAGATCTTCCAGCCTGCGAGAAACCCATGGTTCAGATCTGGCCCATGAGGCCTAGTAAGTTGGAGAGTCCAGTGAAGGCCAACCTTTTTGTACAGTATGCCACAAATTAACCCAGAAATCTCCCGGAGTGCTGCTCTGATTCCCTTCCCTTCCTGTTTTTTTGCTCCGGTTTCTGCTTCCTGCTCTGTGCCCAATTCACTGCTTTGCTTTCTGCTTCCTGCCCTGTCTTTTCCTTTCCTGATATGCCATGTGCCCCATACACAGAGCTTGCCCAAGCCACTAGTGGCACCCATGTCACAGGTTGACTGCCCCTGTACTAGACCATGATTTAACTATTTTATTGTATTTATGCATCAAAAGAAAAATGAATCTCTACAAGGACCTGGTATTTTTTAGTTTGTGGCTCTGATCTACATCTGGGAAACATATCAAAAGGGATAAATGTAAAGGTATAACACCACTGTGGTGGAAGAGGTGAGCTAGCTCAGGTATTGACTGTGCTGAAGTCATGACAAAAGAGAGCTTGGCCTGGGCAACTGCCCAACTCAGCTTCTTAGGCAGATTTTGCAGCCTGTGTTGAGGTCTGTGCTGCCTGACTATCAATACCTGAGCTAACTAGTTTAAAACTAATTTGAGTGTGTTGGTATAATGGACTTGTACATTTTTCGCTGCAGAGGCAAAATACTCTTTGTATAATTAATAAGAGGCCCAGATGTCAAGGTCTGTTCAAAGGTTAAATGTCAATCTCCATATTTTTTTATGGCCAATACATAACATTAATGTTTTCTTCAAGCTTGCTCTCCTCTTCTTTTTCTTCAAAAAGTCATGTAAGCAATCATGTTTAAATTGATAAAATAGTCACGCACTGGGTTGATATGGTCTGAATGATGCTGCATAAATACACGGTGTTTTTAAGGAATGAGGGGAGAACCTGAGCTGCTATGAACTGCCAAAGCTCTGTTGCCTTTAAGGGAACTATGAGTTTTATACCAGTAGAACAATGAAGGAGGGGCAGAACTTTTTCAGCATTAGAATATAGAAAGTACTGAAGCACTACTACTATTGTCCAAAGGCACGATTTGGCCATTTATGTACCAATAAAAATCAGAGTGGCTTGCTCTTCTGGAACTGGATTTAATTTGAGTCTGTGTACTTTTCATATGAACTAGGGTAGTGAGGGGACATCATTCTGGCATTTTAAAAGTTTGCCCAAGAAGGATTTTTTTATTGGAGTTAATTTTATTGGAGCAGCTCATCAAACATGAAGTACTCCAAACACAGCAATTTGAAAAGAAAAAAAAAATGGTTAAAGCAATCTACATCTTACATTGCCATGAAGCTATAATGCTAATTTATTTATCCTATTTATTTGTTGTTCTTTCATTTTAGGTAAAATTTTTCATCCATCAGTATTTTACTTGTCACGCTTTACAGGTGACCTTAACTGTGCCTCACATGATCTCTTTATGAATTCTTTTTGTGTTTTCTTCTTTCTGATTAGATTTTTAGGGGGAATATAAATCTCATGATAGCCTATTTTTCCCTTACCTTGGAATCTGAGGATGTCTATACACGTGCTCCGGAGTGGAGGGGGGCACTTTAATTACAGCGGCACTCTAAGCATCACCTGTATTCAGTGTCCCATACTTCAAAATTAACAGTTTGAAACACAAGAACACTGAACACTGAGACCTTGTTTCCCCTAGCGCCTCCCAGGATAACAAGGAATAATGGCTACAAGTTGTTGGAGAGTAGGTTTAGATTAGACATCTGTAAGAACTACTTCACAGTCAGGGCGGCTAGGATCTGGAACCAACTTCCGAGGGACATGGCGCTGGCTCCTACCCTGGGGGTCTTTACGAAGTAGCTTGATGCCTACCTGACTGGGGTCATTTGAGCCCAGTTTTCCTCCTGCCCAGGCAGGGGGTCGGACTTGAAGATCTACAAGGTCCCTTCCGACCCTACTTCTGTGATTCTATGAATACACATGACACGGAGGCTGCTAATTAGCTCCAACAGACTTGCAGCAGACTTGATTAATCAAGCCTGCTCCAACACATACTAATTAGCCCGTGTCGGAGCAGAGTTCTGTCATGTGTATAGGTGCCCTGAGTGCACTCAGGCCAGGGACAGAAGTTGCACATAAACCAGTTTAAATGATCAGAAACTGATTTAAAGCTGTAACAGAACAGAAGTTCAGTGCACTTAAACTGCTTTCAAAATGGCCAAAACTGGTTTAAGATAAACCCGGCTGGATGTAATATTAGACTGAACTGATTTAGGTGAAACCAGTTTATGGAACTTCTGTCTCAGATCCCCTCCCGGTTCAAGTTTAACTCAATCACCCAGCATCCCAGGAGGCTTTGCAGCCCTAGGCTGTGCTGTCTGCTCCAGTGGGGCAGGGTTGGCCCCACCCATCTGCTCCAGCTGGTTGAGAAGGAGTTGGGGCGAGGGGGGGATGGACCTGGATCCAGCCCCCAACTGGGGCTTGCCTGTTTGAGGGGGGAAGCAACCCCTCCCAGGCTTTTCCCCCAACTGCCTGCTTCAGCAGAGTGTGTGTGTGTGGGGGTGGGGCATAGCCGGACCCTGGCCTGGGCAGCCCCTCCCAGGCTTCTCCTCCTCCCCCCACCCCAGCATAGCCCAGGGCTGGCATGCTGAGGCAGAGTTGGGGGAGGGGAGTTTAAACTGCTTCCCTGGCCCACATGGGACCCCAGCTTGGGGGAGGCAACCCCTCCCAGGCTTTTCCTCCACTCCCAACTCCAATGAAGTGAAGAGGTTATGGGCAGGCCCCCACCTGGCCCTGCAGGCTAAGGCAGAGAGGAGTGGGGATTTAAACCCCCTCCCTGGCCTGTACTTGACCCCAGCCAGGGTCTGCCTGGCCAAGGGAAGGCAACCCCTCCCAGGCTTTTTCCACTCTGCTCTAGTGGAGAGAGGGGGCCTTGGGCAGGTACACTTGGGGTGGGGTGGGGGGATCCTGGGAGGGGCTGCATTGCTCCCCCAGGCAGACCCTGGTTGAGGTCCCATGCAGACCCAGGAGGGAGTTTAAACCCCTCTTCCCCCCCACTCTGCCTTGGCAGGCCAGTCCTGAGCCGGGACCTGGCCATGCCCCCCCACCCTGCTGGAGTGGAGAGGAAAGCCTTCAAGGAGGCTGTCCCCCGCCCTGGCTGCCATCCCATGTTTAACCTGCAAAGATTATCACGTTGTCCAGTTTTGACTTCTCCCACGTTTACAGTTTAACCTGCAAAGATTTAATCTATTTAGCCTTGGGTTTTTTGACTCTCTGTACTTAGCCTCATTGTCTGTAGAATATGCGGTTATGTGTTTTTATGACAGAGGGAGATTGTGAGTGAACTTACATTTTTAATAGCACACAGTTCCTGCCTTGAGGAAATGGGCTACAGTAACACCATCCAGTACACCTCAAATTACTTCTTGTGATCAATGAAATGCTTTAATCACTCACTTATCACAGCAGTCTCTTTCAGTGTGTATGGAACTGCTAGGTTCTCTGAGGTAGTGTTCACAGAAACATCTGCCAAAAGATTCAAGTTTTACATTAAAACTCTTTAGTTTTACATTAGACTATTTGAATGCCATAGCCTACCATAGTATCCCTTAATAAAAATCTTATTTTATAAGCATACTCAGTTTCTTGCAGCTAAGGGAGGTCACAGAGTCTTTACTAGAAATACCTAGCACTGAGTGTGGGCAGAAGTAGCAAATGAAGTGTTTAAAACATATTTGAAATGGTCTCAGAGGGCCAGCTGTATAAATGTACATGTCCTTTGACTGCTGCAGACGCTTCCTCTGCCTGAAGAAGGGTGTTTGTACCTGAAAGCTTGCAAAGAAGAAGTTTTCCAACTATTTTAGTTGGTCCAGTAAAAGATATCAGATTTACCCAAAGAACTGTGTCTGCCCATGTCCTTTGAAACATTCCAAGAGCCGCTGAAGCTCTGCAGAGCAGTAGCTCTTTAAATGAGCCACTACTTTGAAGTGTTTCACTTTTTGTTACTTGTGTCCAGGGACTGAGAAGGAGAGGCTGCCAGCTGCCCAGCACCAGCCCTGGTTTGTTCGCAACCTTTTCATATATTCTTGCAACCCACTTTTGGGTCACAACCTGCAGGTTGAAAAACGCTGCTCTAGTGTGCTTCTGCCTATCTTGTTAACACAAGAGAAGGCTGCAGCTGGGGAATGTCCCAGGGGCTTTATGTTTGTCCCCTGGCTGAAATGGTTTATCTGAAAAGTTTCCAAGCACACTTCACTTGACAGCATTTCAGAAGTTACTTCTGTCTGTCCCCAGTAACATTACAATAAATCGTTTCTGCACCCCTCCAATTGAGTGTTAAGCTCCTACTTTTCCCCTGAATGTTGAACTACCAGCCATAATCTGTCCTGAATCTCTGTAAACACCACATGGGTGTAGAACACTGAACCCTTATTCTGTAGCCAATAGGAAGCAACTTGCATTTTTTTTTTATTCTCCCATTTGACATTTTTACCTTTTTAAACATTTGTCAAACTTTACTCTCGTCACAAACCCATCTACAGGGTGCCCCCCAGAGCATCTCCCTGCTGTTCCACAAGGAACAGACTTGGGTTCCCCTGGAATATCTCCTTATCTCAACTCCGCTGCCCTTATACTAGACCCCACAGCCACAGCAAAGAGCTCCAGGTGGTCTCTCCTTTGGGCTGTGAAAGAAATTTTAGGTCCCCCTTTCCACAGAATGGGCTAGCCTGGAATATCACTTGCCCAGAGATCGCTTGTTCTACAAGCAACCAGTAAGGAGACAAAAGGATTTATTAGGTAGGAGAAAAGAATTATACAAGCAAAAGTGACCATAACTTTGTAAATAGAAAAACTAGGCAAGTAAAGTTTCTTACCCTCTCATCTGGCTACACCCTAGCCCTTCTGAGAGACCTGTCAGCATCAGCAGAAATCAGCCATCCTGCTGTTTCTGCCAGCGCTGGCTGCTGAGCCTTATCCAGCCTGGGGAAAAATCCAAAAGACCCTGAATCTATCTTGGACCCTAAAATACTCCCAAAGCTAGTACCCGCCTACCCCCATCAGCAGTATTCTAATTGATCATGAGTCTCCAGAATCCTCCAGAAATTTCTGGTCCCCCATTGTCTCTTTAGACACAGCCCAAGACAAATGACAGTGTCTCCCATTGCCTGAGGAAGTGTGTTTGTGCCCGAAAGCTTGCAAAGAACTTTTTCAGTTGGTTTAATAAAAGATATCACATCTACCCAAATAACCTCGCCTGCCCATGTCCTTAGACCAACACAGCTACAACCAAGAACCCTGGTCTCCCTGAGGCACCTGGAATTCCTATGGCTGATGGGGCTTTTCTCTCAGATGCCTTTTCTATAGAGGAGTTGATTTCCCTATTACAGGCAGACAATGCCTTGGGTACCTAATAATGTCTTCTGCCTGTCTCTGGGAGTAGCAATTTTTCTTGTCCTCCTGTCAGAATACTAAAAGAGTTTAGCAGTTCTGCCCACTCCTGTACTTTGACTAAACCATATCCCAAACAATAAAATATACATACAGACAGCATAACATAATATATCCTGTGATAACAGCAACAGAAATGGATACAGCCTTACATTCAGAGTGCTTTGCAGAGTGAGACCACTCATGCCATATCAGTACAACAAAACATTCATGACACCTCCATGAACCACCAGACCAGTGTGGACTTTGTGACAACTAATGAATAAGCAAAATTTCATACTGAGTTGTACCACAGCTGACTGAACAATGCCAAATTGTGGAGTTGTAAAACTGAAGTAAATAAGAGGAAATGAAACTCAGCTCACCTAAACCAGTTTCTTCTTCTTTTATGTGTGTGGTCCTTGGGCCTTCCAACCTATTGCATACAGTATTATTTTCATCAAACTTTGCAGGGAGCTCTGCATATATAGATAAAGATTACATAGTGAATCAATACTACACAGCCTATTGCCATTCTTTTTTTTTCTTCCACTTTTAGGCCTTTACATTGTTCTATGAGTGTTTCAAAATGTTGCTTTGGGAGTTTAGGTATGAATTTTATTTTGAACTGCAATTTAAAAGAAAACAGGAATGTTTAAATTACCTGATTTAGAACATTTCTTTATTTCTATAACTCGTAGGTCTTCTGAAACATTACTAACAGAATCCTCTTCACCCGTGTCTCCTGATGTTTCTGTGTAAATAATATATTATTGAATTAGGATATTGCTTATCTGTAGTACTTTTGCAGTTGTAGAAGTTTGTTTCAGTACATTATTCATAGTTTGTTTGTTACTTTCTTTCCTTCTTTTAACCAGGAATGAACCCAGGGTACCAAGCTGTGGACCCCCTTGACTAGATCTTTAAAGTTCTTATAATTTATTCACCTAGCAATATCACTTAACATTGACAGGTAACTATGACCACAGAATAAAATACAGATCCTGCTATCATTCAACCTGCTGTCTTTACAGCTTTTCATAATTTTCAAATGCTAGAAAATTATGCTAGAAAATGTTATGGATAATGCAGCTTTTCCTCAACATCTACAGGTCTGTCCCGTTTCTGGAACAAAGTGGGATGTGTGTTGAAAAGTTAAAGGGGTGAGTAGGGCATGAGGAGGGCATTGTTAACATGACCATAGGCCAAACCTGCACTTTCTCTGTTCTCCTGCTTTCTTCCTCCACTCTTGTAGTTCTGGTCTTCTCTCTCTTCCTTCCTGCAGGTAATCTTGCCATTGTTTGGGTCAGAACAGCCTCCTCTACCTCTTTTTGCATTTGGAAGGGCCTCCCTGCATTTCTTTGAACTCATAATCTCTTCATATTTTTACATATCATTTGAAAGAGAGATCTCTTCTTTTTAGCCTTTACATATCATTCCCTTTTTTTGTAAAAGGATTTATGATCATTACCTAGTAAAAGATCAACCTGCATAATACAGTATTATTTTAGAATTAACCCACTAGACAAGCTGGCATATTTCCATTCATGGTTTGTTTGTTTTTCCCAACAAATATTTTGTGTAGCTCATTGGTTTTCAAATATTTTGGAGCAGCGGACTGCTGTCAATACTTTTTGGACTAGTTCACCCTTTTATTGTCAGTATTTTAACTGAAAAGTGGGGATGGGAGGGAGTATGCTCTGTTCTGCTAGCTGGCCTTATAGAACACTTGTCCATAGATCATACTTTGGGAACCACTGATCTAGCAGATGCTTGTGTACTTTTAAAGTTGTTTTAATGCTTGAAAACTAATAATGGCAAACAACATTTGGATAGCCAGAGTTCTTACCTATGGAGTCCTTTTCTGTATTAGCTTCTGTCCATTCTGTAGGCCTCTTGCCTTCATTGTTATCTGATTTACTTGATTGTTCAACAGTACTGTGTCCCAGAATAGCATCCAGTTCATTAAAGAATATCATACTTTTATTCACATTCCCTGAGTCTTGGGCGTTTTTTACGCTCTTGTATTCATGTTTTAGATTTTTATACTTTGTTCTGCACTGCTTCCAGTCCCTGTCAATTCCGAATTTTTGAAGCCTAGCAGCAACCTGTTCAAATATTCTTTTATTTCTCACTGTGCCCTCCAGTTGTTGCTGGATGTTTTTGTCTGACCATATGCGTATTAGAGCTCTGACTTCATTAACAGTCCAGTGTTTTCCTCCTTCGCTCGCTACCGTTGGAATAAAAGGTGGATTTTTGGAAGCGTCTAGTGCTGAGGTTGGATTACCTGCATCATGTGGGGTGGTGGAGAGACACAGATACGGGTTACCTGCATTAGGTAGTTGGGGTAGAGGGAGGACAGAGAGAATGAGAATTGAAGGAAAGTGGTTTTTATTTCTCAACATTTTTTCCCCAAACATGATGGAGCAAAAATAAAAATAATATCAAAGAAATAATATCAAGCAGTGAATTGTCAGCATTTTGTTAAATTATGAAGCTGTATAGTATGTGCAGCTCTTATGTACAGTATGTGACATTATGATGATGCATTTTAGTTTGTCTAATTAGTAGTTCTCTTTTCTCAGACATTGATTTCAGGATCAATAGATTTGTTTTTTAGTGCTGTTTATTGTTTAAAATAATAAGACATTTATGAAATGTCTTCCATCTCATGACCTCGGGGCACTATCCAAACACCAGTTAGCTAGGCCTTGACCCTGCGGACGTGGACTTAATTTTATGAATGTATGGAATCTTTTTGGTTTTGCATGCATGTAGGAAGTTAAACATATGTAGATATTTGTAGAATTAGGTTGTTAACCCTTACAAAAAAGCTTTGTGTGGTGTGCATAACGATTATTTCCCTAAAGTCACACAAGTCATGAAAGAGCTGGGTACAGAACCCAGTTTTCATAGTTTGGAGTGTGACATTTCCCAAGCTCAGTCCATTCTAAAAATAAATTGATCCGATTAATCAGAAAACATATTGTGCAGAACTGATAAATAATAATTTTCATAAGAGTGAGTTTTAACTTTTTTTGCAATATTTTTAAAACATCTTAATAAATAAACTATATTTTAAAAATGTGTGCTTGAGTTTTTTGTGTAATAGTGAATTTGCTTAAAAACTTTAATGTTGCAATCCAGCCAGTTTGCAAAACTAGTTTTATTCTGTGCTCCTAATGGGAGTGAAATAGGATTTTCTCTCTTTCACAGAATCTTGTGTAGATTTAGAAAAGTCATGATTTACCCTTCTTATTCTGCAAGTTATTTGCATACTTGCAAATTAAGTTAATATGCAGAGTAGTTAGCACAAATTTTGCAGTTAGACTGGTGATATAAATAATGCCTCTGAAATCATCCTTTTCTAAAGGGCAGCCCAGGTGCGAGTGTTAAGACACTTTTATAGTTGTTGAGCTCTCTCTGGTGGCAAAAATATCGCTAACACATTCTGATTCAGTGAAGCATACTTTTGCGAAATAAGGTATTTGATGATAAACTTGTTTAAGGAATAATTGCTGCATATGGTTGTCCACAAGTCATTCTGCTTAAGAGACCTTTACTTACAAATGGCAGTTTCCACCTTGCTTTGTTTAATAATTAAGGTTCTATGTTTGTCAAGACAAGTCTTGGCAGCAGCTGGCCTGCTGATACAGCACAGTTGAAAAGGCTAATTTGCAGGTGACATACCAACTGTGTTTCTACATGTGCCTTAATGCAGGCACATTGAAGCCACAGCCCATGGGCCAGATCTGACCCCCAGTGCCTGTCATCCAGCCTGTAGAGCTCCCTACAGGCCCGTGGGGAGCCCCATAAGCCAAGGCCCTGTGCACTAGATCTGGCACGCGGGGCAGCATGGGGCCCAGATACCCCTGCAGGGCAGGCAGGCCCAATCCTGCGGTGTGGGGGTCTGATTTGACCTGAAGACCAGCCCTACATCACTCATTTGGCCCACAGGACCTAAAAGTTAAGCACCACTGCCCTGAAGGAGTGTTAGGAGCAGGCTTTTGAAATTACCAGTACTCCATAGGGATTGCTATAATGGATCACAATGAACATCAAAGAAGCTTGAAGAGGTTGCAGCTCAGCTATTGGGAATCGCCTCATCTGACTAATCTGTCTGCTAACTATCCCGCTGGAAAAAATAATATATATATCTCAGACAAGGCAGATGTTAAAAACTTTATTAGGAAATTGTTGACATTTTATTGATATAAATATATACATGTAGAATCTGAAGAGATAATAGAGGATCTTTCTCATTTTCTTTTCTTGGCCTTTTCCTTCCTTTCCATCTCTAACCTCTCAGATAACAAAGTGTCTGTCACTTTAAAAGTGCTGAGAACAGGTGTTAAAAACTTTATTAGGAAATGGAGGTATATCAGTTGAGATGGATATCTATCTCAATTGATCTTTCTCAATGAGGAGTTCCTCTATTATCTCTTCATATTCTACATGTATATAGTTATATTTATATAAATAAAATTTTAACAATTTCATAATGAAGTTTTTAACATCTACCTTGTCTGAGAGATAGATAGATATAAGATTTCTCTCTCTCTCTCTCCCCCCCCCCCCCATATAATTTTTATAATTTATATATATATTTTTTCATGTTTACATTTCACAGCTAAGGAATATTTAATAGCTGTGCAGCAGGAGGATTGTTTAGCTTTCTGAATTGGACCAGCACTTCTTATGGATAGGTCTGACTTGCAGGGTTTGAAATGCCATGGACAGTGCCTTGAATTGGGTCATAATGGCTAGGTGGACTGATTTTTTTTTTGCAGTAAAACACTGTGCTAGGTGGAAAATGGCTATCAGTTCCTTGTGAAGATTGTAATAAAAAAAAAAAACCCTGCCTTTAATTTGTTGAAAAATCAAAACTGTAAAAAAAAAAAAAAAAAAAAAAAAAAATTAGTTTCTGAGACAAAAAAAAGTGATCTAGGGTACTTGGATGGTTTTGTTTTAACTATTTTTTAAAAATTCTAATTAGGTTACATTTATAAGCACAACTGTTTAGGAACTGGCAACGAAAACTTTTGTTTTTTAGAGTGTCTTAAGATCCTACTTTGACCATTTCCAGAAGTTTGAGTAGAGAAATCCATCAAAATTAAGTTTCCTATTGAAACTTCTTGGTTTTAGTGAATCGCCATTTTTCAAATGAAAAAGGTAACCTCAAAAATTCTTAAGAAGCTCTAAAATAGTAATAGCTGTGTAGTTTTGGTAGCATGGTAATTCACCAGAGTGTTCATTGTCTTTTGACCCAGAGCCTACCTCACAAGTCTTTGAAGATAGGACTGAAAGGGACCTCAAAAAGTCCTCTGGCAGACCCAGGTGACAAAAAGTTGCAGATGCCTGTTAAGATGTACCTCTTCTCTGCTTTTCTGCTTTCAGAGAAGACTTGAGCAGGATTTCTTCCAGAGTGTTTGTTCATATCTCAGTTCCCCTGTCCATGAATACGAATAATGCATGTGCCTTCTGAGAGCTTGTGTCCAGTCGTCTCCATTTATGTGCGTGTATTAGATAACACCATTATTAATTTGAGGACTGTAATGAGATGCAGGTCCCAATCTTTTGCTTATAACAAACTCTGGTTACCTGTATATTTACGAAGTGCCTAAACTGCTTAAGTGCATAGCACCTTTCAGCCATGATGTCTACTTCGTAATGTAATTGAACTCCATTTCACTGCAGCATAATTGGTGCCAGAAACAGTGAAGGGGAAGCAGCTGTCAGAAGGCTGCTATTAAAAGCCTTGAAATTGACAGGAGCTAGTCAGTTTCAAGGCTGCTATTAGAAGACTTGAAAATGAGGGGAGATAACAGCCCTGAAACAGATTAGCTCCTGTCATTTTCACGGCTTCTGATAGTAGCCCTGAAACTGACTATTAGAAGCCTTGAAAATGACAGGAGCTAGTCAGTTTGGGGGCTGCTAATACCACACCACTGACAGCAACTGAAATGGGTTATTCTGTACTTAATGAGAATTGCTTACATTAAGTTTGGGTGAGTGTATAGTTCCAGCCACCACCCCTTTGCAGTCCCAAGGCTGTGTACTTAAAAGGACTACATAGTAGTGAATTTGTCTGTTTTTACAAGGTTGCCTTCTCTCTTCAGCCAGAACTAAAGGCTTTCAGTGTCCCAAATGATGATGCCTTATGCTATGTTGTCAAGTACTAATTAATATTGATTTAGACCCTCTACTCCTTTAAGTATTGATCTGAGTAGAAATATCAGTAAAGATGTATACATCTGGCAGGAAGGGCATGTCAAGGATGGATAGGCAGAACATATCATGTGAATTGCTTCTACCTTTCAGAAGCCAGGGACCAGCTGCTTAGCTCCTCAGATCTATATCAGTTGTATTGAGGTCTCTCTCACTCTTAAACCAGCTCAGGTGATATCAAACCATCTTAGGTTCCTCCCCAGCTCCCTGGGTAGCAAGTTCTGTGTCACATTTCTTAGATTCAACAGTGAATCTCAGCACAAAGGTCTCCGTTGTACAACTAATATCATAATAAACTTTATTTTCCTGAACTGCTGCCTTCCCATCCTTTGAGCAAACCTTCTGTTTAACCTGTCATCAGTTGGCATGTTGCCTGCTTAATGAGTGCAGACATGCACCACATTTAAGGTGAAAGCTTCTGGTAGTTTGGGGAAGGAGTTTGTTTGCTATTTCAAATCTGTCAGCTGGTGACTAACTGGCAGGACCAACGGGGTTGTGAGGACTTTTGCTGGGGAAGCAGATGTCTTATGGTTGCTCATCTCTGCTGAGCACAAATTTCCTTGGCCAAGGCAACATTTCAGCTCAGCCATTCCCAAATAAGTTGTTGTTGCATGGTTGGTGGGCCACCAGATTGGTAGCCATACCACTGCTTCAGGAGCAGGTATAACTGCTGTGTAGGCTACTGCAGACTCAAACTATTCAGCTGGGAGTCGGCATTCTTGGATACAGGATTATTTTGTGTCATGTCCCTGCAGATTTCCCCTCAGCTGATTTGCTCACAGATTTGCCATTTTATGCATAAATCAGATGACTTGCAGATAAACCACAAAGGGTATGTCTCTCACACTATCATGTGACAGACCCTCTATTAGTAAGTAATAAATTAAGATAAATTTAGTTAATATGATTTAGCTGTAGCATGGGATGGTTTCTGAAGGTGAAAGCTAATCATGCAATCAGCAAATTGGTCATGCAGTGGTCATCTGCCATGTATTGTGGTAGACAACCAGTTATTCATTAGGCTACTGAATGTTAAAACCAGAGGGATGAAAGCGCAGTCTTGTTTTTGTTGTAAACTTGTATTAATCAAAAACTTATTGAGGCTAATGAAAACTTATTGCAACAAGACATACCAGAATTACTCTACTCTGTAAGTATGGTGTTTTTTTTGCTTCCCACACCATCATACTCTACCTAGTTCAATTGGTCTGACATGCGAAATAAAAAGTAATGGATCCGATGAGACATCCTCATCCTCTTCTAATGCAACTGACATTTCACCTGGGGGGGAAGAGTTTTCATGTGAAAAATTGGTATGGAATAAATCATTTTTGAAGATATTAAATGTCCATACACAGTCAGCAGTTCACAAGAAGTAATTGGATGGGAAAGAAGCAGTAGCGGGTAAAACAACTGTCTTAAATGTAGTCTCTTTGACACCAATTTTAAAGGTGTTTTTAATCCTTGTAGAAAACTAATTTATTCCATGCTCGATTTTTACGTGCTTTTTTTTTTTTTCTTTCAGTTTTTTTAGGGGGCACCCATTTCTCTGACTAAATGCTACTAAATAAAAATGGAAGCAAAAATCCAAATAAACATGGACTTTGCTCCCATTCAGATTACCAGGCAAAGAAAAAATCCACATTTATTGTAAGAATAGGTTTTGAGAAGAGAACAAGGATGATCAGGGGCATGGAGAGGTTCCTGCACACACAGAGAGAAATGGTACAGGACTTTTCAGCTTAGAGAAAACAGCCGAGGGTGGGGTATGATCAATTTATAAAATTAAGAATGGTGCAGAGAACGTAAATAGATACTATTTACCATCCCTTGCAATACTGAAGGGGACATACAAGGAGTGGTTTTATGTTTTGGGGACTTTTTCCCAATGCAGGTTGAATTCTATCCTGTGGTATGTTGTTCCTCCATAAGTGGGCATGCTTAAGTAAAGTTTTGAATATGTGGAGCCTGAAAACTAATTTTGACTTGCCAAGAGGTAAGATGGATTTGTGTGGCTGTCACTGCTGAAATAAACCTTAACTTTGCACATATAATCACACAGCTTTACTATGTGCTAACAAATATGTGTATGCATGTGTTTCCATCTCTATTTCATATCTGAATAAAAATAGATTTTTTTGTGTGTCTTGTATGTTTTATATGTTGTTAAGGCCTAAACAAAAAAATGGTGACCATATGACAGGATTTGCACACACAAAGAAATGCATACCAACATGGATTATTTCACCTTGGACTCCAGATGCTCTTGATTTGTGATATTCAGAAATTAAAAACTTGATAATTAATCTGTCCTTCCTTTGCTTTGGATTATGAAAATAAATCACTAAAAAACGTGAAAAGGCTATTACATTGTAAGCAGCAAAGAGTTTTATGGCCACCGCTTTGTATCACATTGTCACCTTGTGGGATTTGTTTCTGTGGCTGGTGATTGAGGTATTGTTTTGGCTGGAATTTTATAAAAAGAGTTGTTTTTATTAAATCCTTTTTAGAAGTGTACGTCAAGACAGTGACATAAGCATACTTCATTAACATTTTTGAAACAGTGGCATCTGTGTGGGCTGGTTTAGAAATAGTATCCTGAATCTCTGCAGGGGACTGGACTTAAATGACCATGGTAGTCCCTTCTCAGTGAGTGCATCTACACATTCATTAATGCGTCTTGCGTACTGTGCATTTAGTTTAGTACTTGCTTAATAAAGTACTAACTAAATGTGCAGTAGCTAGAGTTACTGCGCAGTAGTGCTGGAACACAGTTTTTTTTGTGATGCTTATTGCACGTTAGCTTAATAGCATGGTGCAGTAGGCTATTAGCACGATTTTTAACGGCCATGCTACTGTGCATTGTTTAGGCTAATGTGCAGTAAGCACCTCGTGTAGGTGCGCCCAGGATGCATAAAAGATCATGTGGGGCTAGGAGAAGGAAGGCCAAAGATGCATCCAGAAATGTGGACCCTTGCACCATTGTCTGTCTGAGTTATGGGAGAAAGTGTGGTCTTCCTTTTGAAGAATTTGGAAACAGTCATTAGAGACACATGGTGTGTTCTGGTCCAGTTACTCCTACATTTTAGCTACATATTTCAAATATTAGTTTCTTCAATTGCACCCAGCAGAAGAAAACAGATTGTAGAGGTAATTAAAAAGTTCTTGTACTAAATGCAAGGAATTATGCCGCACAATACTTTTGAATTTTTTTATGGAAGATTTTGCTAATTCTCTGTAGGTTCATTTATATTTGCTACTACTCCATATTCTGTTTAACAATTGAATCCTTGAAGTTAGATTCCATCTTTTTATAGTAACAAGTATCATGAATGTTCAGGGAAAGGAGAGTAGAATAAGGGAAAAACTCCTTGCACAGAAACCTACTCATGAGTTTTCTGTTGTGCCTCATTCTGCATTCAGTATGCTAAGCCACTTCGTTCATTCTTAATAAAGGAAATTTTAAGTTTCATGAACTGTAAAACAGAGCCATTATTAAAAACCTAAATGTACTTCTCTTCAAAAAGATAGACACTGAATCGGAACAGAAGTTTGATGCATGGGTTTAACCTTAGATTGATCTGATTTGAATTTACCTTGAATCAGGTCTATCTTAGACTGCTTGTGCCATTTTTAGACTGGTCAGTGTGTGCAGAACTTATGTACGGCTCTGGGTTTAGATATATTTCTGACCACTTAGACTGGTCTAAGTGTAATGTCTGTACGCAGCCTGTATTGCTATATCCATGAGTTAATGAACCAAGGACTATATCAAACAGTTGTGTTTTTGTTCTCTCATCTCTGCAAGTCACACAGCTAGGCCATAATTATTTCCATCTCCTTGAGTTCTGCCTGTGAGGGAATCTTCCACACACAACTTCTGCCCTTCAGTGGAGAAGAGAGGCTTGGGTGCCTTTTCAGCACCAGTGCACCCTTCCTTCCTTGAATCCCATGGAGTGCTCACTGTGGTCTGGAGGGGTAAACCCCAGAACAGGTGGGGCTACCTGGGGTTAGGGCACACACGTGTACTTCATTTCCTCTCCAGCTGAGGGTGCTCAGATTAATAACCCTAGCAAATATGAACTATTTTACATTTCTTCTTGACTTCTGCTGCTATAGAGCTTCCTCCTCCCACTCCCCACCAATAGTGGAGGTATTACTTTCAGGTCTGACAAAAAAAAATCCTACTAAACAAGCTGGAGAGCAGAATATCTCTGACAAGAAATTTAGAAGTTATCCAGAGGTGAGGATTTCTTAGGGGTCAATAAAAGATGTCACTCAAGAAATCCTTGCCTCTTGAATCATTTTGGACCACCACAGCTGCAACATTAATCTTGCACTACCATAAGCTATCAAGAACATACATCTTAAACAACAGTATATTCAAATACAGATCTTTAAAAATTCAATTAAAATGCCAGATAACCTCTTCAGTGGATATTTTATTCAGTGACTTTCATGGGACCAAGATTGGATAGTATAGTATAGTATTGTTTGACTTCCTGAATTTGTGTATTTTCATGCAAAAGGTTACTACTCTTGTTGCCAATCTGTTTATCCCTTGTTATATATGAATTATTTTGCATAGCTGTAGGTTACATATATGTTACATGTGTACATGTAAAAGTATAATTAATGTATCACACTTTGAAATAAGCTTGTGTATATATTGAGGGTCTATGCCCCAAAACGCAAGGAGTCTTACCAGGAGCGCAGTTTTTAATTTGGCATCCTACGTTGAGTTTTGCACACAAGATTGGTACATTGGCCCTATATGATGCACTCTCACAAATGTGAAATGTGAATAGGATATGAAATGTGAAACAGTTAAATCATTTAAGAGCAATTTCTATTAGCTTTGCTACAATTTACAAAGCAAAGTTAGGTTCAAATGAACCATTTGGGCAAGGCCATTCAAAACACAGGACACTAGGTTTCCAGGAGCATACCCTTAGCTTATGTAAATCATCATAACTCCATGAAAGTCAGTGGCTCCATTAGTTTGTTACTGCTGAGACTCTGACCCTTGAACTTTTGTACATTATTGTGGGGTGGGGGGAGGGGGGATAAAGTCAGTGTGTGTGTGTGTGTGTGTGTGTGTATGTGTGTGTGTGTGTGTGTGTGTGTTAACTACTAATTTTATTTTTAATTAAATATTTTCAAATAGGTGAAACATTATTAAAAAATAAATTTGTGGGTTGGGTTTTTTCCTTAAAGCATGGAAAACCATGCTTTCCCACTTCAAGAGCTGTAAAATAGGATCTTAACAGGGAAATTGTCAAAGGCATGGAAGTGACTTAGGCATGCATGTCCTCTTCTTACTATTGAAAATTTTCCTCCTAGTTAGTTGCTCTTTTTTAATGTTTAATATATATATATTAAACTGTGACAAGGTTTGTATGAGGTTTTTAGCTCTGGTTACATTTAAAAAAAATAATTATATATAAAATTATTTTAAAAAAAAATGTAACCAGAGCTAAAAACCTCATACAAACCTTGTCACAGTTTAGGAATATAGTGAAGCCCAACTTGAATCACCAGATTTGTGTTTGTCTCATGATTTTTAGATTACAACAGATACCCAAAAGAGACCTTGTTTGTACCAGGTGGGAAGTGATTGAAATCTTAGGACAGCAGTCTGAGGTTTTGGCACCATCAAATCTCAGGCTTCAGTTTCTAACCTCAACCATATTATAATTCTAATCCGGATCTAAGTGCTGTCTCTACAGCCCATTTAATTTTTTGTCGTCTTCTGCTCCCCCCTATAGTAGAGTGAATTCCGGTTTAACATTAGTGAAAGTCACACACACACACAATGAGGGGGCTCAACAGAACCTGATGTGCAACTGGTTTGATAAAACTACAATTGCTTCATGTTTATAAAAATAAGTCTCTCTCTGTCTTGCTCCGGGATGTCTTGTTTAAAATAATATAACTTTTTTTTCCTAGAAGAAACACGAATAACTTATTTAAATATTTAAGCTTCCTTGTATGCTCAAGTATTTGTTGCACAAATAGCTCCCAAAACTGTATTGTCTATGTTTACATTTAGTCATATTAATACAAATTAATCAGATTTAAGTTAAGGGGAAAAATCTTTAAAATCAGAATAAAAATTATTTTGGATTTTTTTTGTAGTTTTCAGACCTACTGATAATTTGCTTTTTGTCTTTTAAAAACAAAAAAGCTGTAATTTTATAATTGTGCATGGTGAAATGCTTGATACAGAATAGTCCAGTTTTTCTGAACTGGAGCTCTGAAAAACCTGGGGTAAAGCATTAAACCTATATAAATAAAATAGCTTTTTAAAATGAATATTAGAACAGAGTTGCACAGATAAGACCCTCAGTAGGACTGACCTCTTTGTGAGCTTTTAGCACCAGCAGTTAGAGCATAACCTTGGAGTCATTTTGGTTATCTCCAGACTTCAACACTGCTGGT